GGGAATGTTGAATCATTTCTTATCAATGTGGGTAGGAAGTCTGGAAGTTTTGAAGGCTTTGGGCTTTGAACATATCAGTGGGTGAAACAACTCCAAGAAAGGATCAAAGAAAATTTCAAATTAGCAAACTTTGAAAATGAATAAACCTGTGAGATGGATACAACGGGGCACAGCTTTAGTTAGCTGTAATTGCTCGTTTACATAATCAAGCAAATGGTCAAACGCAATTTTTACAGGGTCCAAATATTAGGAAAAAAGAGCTCCTAGCTAACTAGTAGGTATAAAATGGATATAAACAGGTAAACGTGAGAAAGTCGTTGTTTAGAGGACAATAAACTCGATTATCAGTAAAACCGTTTCGGTAAGAATGCACTTGAGTCATCAATGTCATAATCTTTACAATAAACTTTTAGTAACTTCATAACTCACTAACAATAATGATAAAATTTTTCAGTCCCTCTACGACTAGGGCATGATGATTGAGCTTAAGAACTAAATATCACTTTGGTTTCACGGGTTCAAGTACAAGGTATCAAGGGTAAAAAAAAACCAAGTAGCGGTCTGAACCGGTTTCTAAGAGGAAAAAAGCACATGTAAAGGAACTTTCATCGAGATTGACAATTCTAAGAGCCTTTGGGTTTCTTGCGGAGATCTCTTTTGCCAGCACCACCGGTGTTGGGATCTGATGTTTGTTGAACTCGCAGCTCTCTGAAGGCAATCTAAAATTGAGAAATTGAAAGTCAGCGTAATGAAATGAAAATTTCAATGGTAAAAGTGTACTGCTTTAGAGAGAGACCGAGAGAGACTGAAGAGTATTATTCCCTTGTTTGATTTTTTCTTTCTTTCTTTTTATTTGATTATTTTACTATTGATTACCTGCAATATATAGACACAGTAACAATACCCTGGCAACAATGTTTTCTGTCTCATTAGTAATGTTGCATCAACGTTGCTGTCAATATTGCCAGGACTTGTAGCAGCGTAGAGGCAATATTCCTTTGCAGATGGAAAGACAAGTGAAATCCGTCTCTAATTGGCTGTGATATACGCCTCTTTGGGCGGTGATCGCATTTCTAAGAACAAGACTCATCGTCCAATATTCTGCAAAAATTCGATGAACCCTGCTCCAAACCGACCAGAAAATCCTTATGTTGGCATCAGTTCAACAACATTACGGCTAACATTTTCAGCGATCAAATCTCTAATTTTCCCTTCCTCCATTGATTGATAGACAAATCTATAGGCAAAGAGAAACTGGGGAATCTTATGGTAGGGACCGGGTGGTTGCAACGGACTGAGAAGGTTTAAGTAACATAAACTAACAAACGGAAACCCACGATAGGTCCACTGAGGAAGTTTATCCATTTCCCACCTTAAAGAATCATCCGTTTTAAACGATAGGATCGCTAAGTTTTCCTTTGGTTATTTTCGTCCAAAGCTTTGCCCATAATTTGATCACAACGGCAGGTGCAGTTCCTAATTGCAGTGCAATGATAATTGTGTTTTGGTCAAAACAAGAACTTACGAGCTCTTCGTTATCAGGTACCCTGGAGAGGAGGTCCAAGACTTCGTTATTGGGAACGGTGTGCGGGCGGATGAGTTTGCGCGCGAATTTGTTGATGCCCCAGGCCATGATGAGGTACCTCACGGGCACCCAGTACAGGACGAAGCAGATGAGCGTGGTTAGGAACATGGCCAGGAAGCTCAAGAACGGCACGGTGAAGTTGAACGTGCTGCAAACGAGAGGACTTGCTTAGGTAGGTACGTTTTTGAAAACAAAAATAACTTAGCGACGTTACTTTTCCTCCATTGGCAATTTCAAAACCAAACCATTACAACTAGGTAATTGCAATGGACCACTAGACAAGGTACGAATTTAAGCAATCTGATACATGATTCTTAACCAGAATTTCACGTAGAACACGATTCACACTACGAAAATTACCGAAATCAACTTCTAACGAAGATATTAACGTTTTTATTTCGCACTGATTACGAGGAATTTGCACTGCCCGCTCACAAGAAACTCAAAGCTCCACGTGAGTCAAATCGCGCACTACAACGGTTTCAGCAAGCTTCTCAATCGAGCAATGTTCATATTCCACCATACGTTGTTCAAACTATTGGTAATTTGCTATCGCTGAGCCAAAACGTCAAGCTCGAGGTTGCCAGATTTAAAGATCGCAGGGACTGTCGTGATAACGTCTAGCGCGAGATGTGAATCACGTAGAGCATTGAGTTTTCATGAGCGGGTGGTTTGAATTCACGCATCAAGAATCATTAAATATCTTCGTCAGGAGTTGATTTTGGTGATTTTCGTTGTGCGTATCGTGTTCTACGTGAAATTTTGGTTGAGAAACATGTAACAGAATGCTGAAATTCGTGCATTGTCTAGTGGTCCATTTCCCAAAGTAGCATTTTCAACGGAAAAATCTCAATGCATTGTTATCAGGTTCCGATTTTTGACGATTTACGTGCGATGAAATCGCTAGAATCATCGTCATCTGAGCGAGTGTCCATCTGAGGTCCATAAGAATACACGCATGCCAGAGCTCATGTCAAAATGATATACTTCCATCTGATTTGAACGCGTTCAGTTTGAAGTGCCACCGCTCGGGAACATAACTTAAACTGTTTACCTGGGGTTTAAAAACCGTTTTCTTCAAGTCAACGACGAGCCTCATAAAGCAGTGTAAACTTTCACGTTACATCCTCCACAGAGCGCTTACTTTGAAGCACAGTAAACTTGTATACTGGAATGTAACATTTAAAAGCTGGAGAGTAATTTAGACTGACTGCGTTTGTTCCGGGAAGTATTTCAACCCGTGCAAGCGGCATAGCTTGAATTTAAGGCTCGGAAAAGGAAGGATGAGAAAGTCGAGGTTGATGAAATGTTTGAACCTTAATTGCGGTTCTGAAAATTAAATAAACCGCAAAGATATTTGAGTTTCAAAATGGTTTGACTTACTTTTTAACCTGCTCCCCGAGGGATGCGATAAAACCGATGGAGTTTTGCACCGTCTGGGTAACTTCCTGGATTGCCTGGAGTTTCTCTTTCAGACTTTTCTTCTCTTCCTGGCGGTAGAAGATAAAAGCACGATTAAACAAATAGTTTATCTTTTACGTATAAAAGAAAAAATTTAAAATTTTTTTTATTCTTTTTTAAGTTGAGGAAGCGTTACTGCGGAAGCTGTTAAGAAATTAAAATGTTAAAACATTTGGATTGCATTTTGCAAAAAGGAACCACTAGCATTGCAATGTTGCTAAGATTGTGCAACTTCTTTTGTCTTGGAGGAAAAACCCCGATTATCCATTAATAGTTTCTATTTTACTCGCTAAAAACTGTGAATTTAAGACAAAAATGACCATCTGAATTTCATAGTTTTTCACGATTTCCGCAATTTTATTGCAAAGGATGAAGTTGCACAATCTTAGCATCGTTGCAATGCTAGTGGTTCCTTTTTGCAAAATGCAATCCATTTGATCCCTCACTTGCGACGCAGTTAAATTACGTTATTTAATTACGTCCCAAGTGAAAGAACAAGTTTTTAAAAATTTTAATTTAAAGTACAATGGTTCTAAGTCCCCAAAATCAAGATGAAAAGGAGTGCTTCAAAGTTAGTTTNTTTTTTTTTTTTTTTTTTTTTTTTTTTTTTTTTTTTTTTTTTTTTTTTGATCAACTGAGATTTACGTCAATTATGATGGAAATTTTCAAACTTTTGGGAGCGTTTAATTTTCTCAAAAAACAATTCTGACACAGTGCTTAATCTAAAATGATTCAAATTCTACTAAATTCACGATCCCGACTTTATCTTTAAACATATAGTACACTATTTAATAAAACTGTGTAGTTTTTCACGAATTGAGTACCTATCCTAAAGCGCTGCCATGCATTTGTCCCCGAAGTTTTCTCCGCAACTGTGTGGCAGTAATACGATTGTGAATGAATCGCATTCGCTGCAAAAAACTACTGAATACTATCCAGCATTTCAAACCAAGGGAGGACGTCTCAAGTACTGATCGCATTTGGATAGATACAGAAAAATCGAAGATCAGCAGTTACGACATGTTTCTTTAATAAAAATTCTTCGTGGGGACGGACAAAAAGAGAAACAGATAGCTGTTTCGTTTTCTTTTGGACCACGGCGCGACGTTAACGCAAGGTCTGGATGCAATTATACGTGCTCGGGGAATGTGCGTG